ACTTGAGCGATACGTATACTTGCGTTGATAAGTGTGACTTTATAATTATTGAATATTTATTACGTTGATATTTATCTTATATTTTTAAGCATATATAAAGTCGCGGTCATTAAACTGGGAAGATACTAGCTCACACGCTAGATTTCTTACTTCCCCTCCCCTGAGGGTAACATCTCACTTTAAGTTTCAAACATCTGGATCAAATTGGGGAATTTAGTCTATCACCCGCCCATCAAAACTTAATTCCCTATTTAATTACACTTAAACTCATGGACTACATTCTCATTCATGAGACTAAATGTGATTCTTACTATGTTGGAACACATCCCATAGCATTGAGTCACTACATTTTACAACAAATTTTAATAAATCAATTGGACAGATTGACAAGAAAATGAAGCATAGAGTTTGAATCATCACAAATTATGGAATTTTAAAAGCACTACTACTAAACTACATTCCTACACATAATTATTCCTTACTGCAGGGAGAAAGACAAAGAAAACTACTCAGATCTCATGGGGAAGAAACAACAACACATGAATTTATAGATAAATAAATGTTTACAAGACAAGACAAAGTAAAATAAATAAAGTACACAACTTATCCTAAACTCCTTCCCTAGTAATTCTTATAGTTTCACTCACTCTCTTTACAGTTCACTCTAAACTTACTTTAAATCTATAGTGAAGAAGATATCTCTCACTTCTATTCATCTCCTCTAAATCTGCAGCAAGCCTTTAAGACTTTCTCCTCTCTAGAAAGGATCTATTTCTCTATAATATACTCCCTTTTCTTCCTCCCAATAGTCTCTCTTTTGAACCTTCAAAAGTCACTTTAAATAGATCTCTTAAAATCCCCATAAGCCTCTTCAAACACCTCTTCAAAATTCATCCAAATTCAATGCATCTTCTAGATAATCGTCATCGGCATCTAGGCATCGGATCTAGTGCCTAGGTGTCGTGCTCTCTGTTGTCTAGTGCCTAAGTGCCTAATTCTGAAGCCTAGGCGCCAGATCAACTTTGGCATTTTTGCTTCATTTGACTCCAATTTGCTCTATTTTTTTTTCATTTGTTCCATTTACTTCATTTAATGTACCTACAACTAAAAACATCAAAAATATATTTCATTAAAATGCAATATCATAAAAAGTAGGTATTAAATGTACAAATAAAAGCAACATATTTTAGACATGTCATCATTCTGCTGACTGGTGGGAGAGGATTTCAACCACATTGCTTCTTCTTCTGAAAAATTTTGTGGTAGACTACGAAATATTCAAAGGCTTACAACTTTTAGTGACAACATCCAGAAGGCTAGCCTTTTTGACCTGGGTTTTCTAGGACCTGAGTTTACATGGAGAAGAGTTGCTATCTGTGAGAGACTTGATAGAGTCCTAGTCAATGATCCCTTGTTTCAATACTACCTGAACACATCAGTTGCTCATCTTAGTCTTGCTGGCTCTGACCAAGGACTCCTTTGATTTCCATTACTGCCTCGCCCCCCAACAAGATCCCCTCCATTAAGATATTAAAACATGTGTTCTAAACACCCCACCATCCTCAACATCATTTCCTCTAACTAACTTACTCCTAATCATCCCAACCCTTTTGTAAAAGCTTTGACAACTACAAAAGAAGGTTAGTAAGGCTCCCAGAGCGTGGAACTGGTCTACATTTGGGGATGTCTTCAAAAATGTTGAACGGGTTGAGTTGGAGAAGAAATCCATGCTTGGCCTCACTGATGAAAGATCACTTCTAGCTGCTAGTAAAAGCCTCCTCACTGCCACTGCTCATCAAGATATCTTCCTCAGATAGAAGGCTTCCATTGATAAGTTTATTGGATATAAAAATTAATCACTTCCTTGCATGTATCAAATACAGAAGAAAATGCAATGTTATACACAATATTCAGATTTATGCTGGGGAGTGGTTGCATGAAAATGCTGCCATTGGTCAAGGTGCTATAGATTTTTCCAACTTCTACTGACCAATCCCACCACTAAAAGAACTCCCATTGATAAGGACTTATTCCTACTGGATTTCTCTTATACCTCTAACCTTTGCCTAGTTGACATTCTTGATGAAACTGAAATCAGGGAGGCATTGAATTCTATTGATGGTGGGAAGACTTTTTGTCCTGATGGGTTCTCTGCTAACTTCTATAAAAAAATTGTAGCATCATTAAGATGGATCTGATCACTGTAATTCAAGGTTACTTCCAAGGCCACTCCCTCCCTCAATACTTCTGCTCTTTAAACATTGTTCTCATTCCTATGACTGCTGATCACTTTAACTACAATCATTACAGACCTATCAACCTCACTACTATTATCAACAAAATCATTGTGGGAAGACTCCAACCATGTTTATCCAAACTTGTCACACCCAACCAAGCTACTTTTGTTAAATGTAGGTCCATTGCTGGTAATGTCCTTCTTGCACAAAAAATCTTCCTTGATTTGGATAAACCCTGTATGGGTGGTAACATCATCTATAAGCTGGATATCAAAAAAGCATATGACACCATTAATTGGGATTTCATCCTGGAAATCCTCATAGCTAGAGGATTCTCTACTGATTTCTGTAATCTTATATGGAGATGGTTGAACGATAATGCACACTCCATCCTCATTAATGGACAGCCCCATGGATCATTTACAGATTCTAGGGGATTATAACAAAGAGATGCACTATCTCCCCCTTTTTTATCCTTGTTATGGATTATCTATCCAGATTGCTGGACAAAGCTCTCATACCCCATTCTTACTCTAGGTATCATAACAAATCTAATTTGGGTATCTCACATCTCATGTATGTATATGACATTATGCTTATTTCTAAAGTTAACAAAGCTACTATTAAGAAGTTCTAACAATGCCTTCAAGCTTTTGAACACTACTCTGGCATTCAATTCAACCCTCAGAAATGGAATATGTTGTTCAGTACTAGAACTAGCCCCAATATCAAACAATGGATGTTGCAGTTCTCTAGTTTTACTGATGTCTGTTCCCCCCTGAATACTTAGGAGTCCCTCTCATTAAAAGAAGAGTTAAACAAGTTTGGTTTGAGGAGGCGCTGGGGAAAATTGATGCTCAACTTTTCTGCTATACTCATTCATTTTTGTCTGATGGTGGCATAATTTTTTGCTGAAGAGTGTCCTCACTACCTTCCCTTCCTATATTCTACAAATTTCTGGCATGAAAAATCCAAATTCAGCTGGAAAGATGCTTCAACAACTTTCTTTGGTTTAGCCAAAGACAGTAACTCCACTGGGCTAGTTGGCAAAAATTGGCCAAGCCCACCATGGTTGGGGAATTGGTTTTAAGGGACTCCAACACCTTCAAAATGTTAATTTGTGTAAAATATGGATAAAGTTTAAAACAAAAAAATACTCTTTGGGCTTAATTTATGAAGGGAAAATATTACATGGATTCTCATCCCAACCCGACTGCATAAAACTGGGTGATTCCAAACTTTGGGTTAACCTCCTGAAAATCAACAAGAAGCTGAAAGTCTCTTTTTATGGGACCTTAGTAATGGTAAAATGCACTTCTGGTTGGATAATTGGTGTTCTGCTGGTCTTCTTCATTTTAGGACTTCTGATCTCAATCCACATCTTAAAGTTTATGATTGCTGACAAGGGGACCACTGGTCTGAAACTCTATTGCACTCCCTACTTAATAGCACTTTTGCTGAGAATATCTCAAAGCTGCAATGTGACAGAGCTCAACCTGATAAGATTGTGTGGCTAACCAGTAAAACCCAGAGCCTAACCAAAGCTATTTACTAAAAAATGTACCATTGGGAGACTGTCCACTGGGGTGACATCATATGGAACAAGTTCCTTACTCCTACGTTTTTCCTTTGTTGGAGAATATTTCACCAGCTATTGCCCACTGATGATTTCCTCAAATTGAAGCTTTTGAGGGGCCCCTCCAAGTGTTGCCTATGTATGAAAGCTGAGAAATCCACCAAGCGTATCTTTTTGAATGTAAATTCTCTTAAGGGGTTTGGATAGAGTTTTTAAAGAACTTACTGCTAGACACCATCAACTTGGACTGGTTTCACCTTCTTGTAATCTCCATGCTCTATCCTTGAGTTCTTCATGCAGTATCGCCTCCCTCAGACCTCTAGAATTGGATAGAAAGTTCTAGACTTGTGTGAAACTTTTCTTATCCACCTTCTTAGATCTAGAAGGTTCTTGCCATGCATGCCTCTTCTAGAGTTTTCCTCCCCATACTTGTCTTACCATTTCCTTGAAAATGGTGAGGCGTGACATATAGTTGTCTATTAGGCCATTAAGTTAGCCACTATGAACAATTGGGATTCTCTACAGGTGGAAATGGACTCCTTCTTATTGCTCCAATTCTTATCAAGTACTGACTTCCCTCTTAGTATATTTCACAACGGGTCAAGAAGATTTATCAGCTTAGGACTTTTCTTAAAGTTCATCTCTCCTTCATCTATAGGCAGCGGTAACAGGCCTGCTAACTAGCTTGCAAGATTTGGATGTAGTTCTAATCTTGTTATTGTATCTTCTACCACCCCTTCTTCTCTTTCCCCTCTTTTTTATTGGGTCCCTCTTTATTTTTTTGATTTTTCCCATAGGGGTGTAAATGAACCAAACACGAACGAACAGAACTAGTGTTTGTGTTTGGTTAGTTTAAAATTTAATTTGTTTGAAATATGCTCGTGTTTGAAATTGTTCATAAAGTTGTTGTACATGTTCGGTTCGATTTGTTTGAAATTAGATCGAATTCTTCAAATTCTTCACATTGTTCGAAATGTATATATATACACACACATATCTATCTATGTATATATAGATTGATTGAAATTCCATAATCAAATTTATAAATTGTTGAACTTCCTTTATATATCAGTTTATCATTTGTGATATATTGATAAATTTGCTTTAACGATCGTGCCGGCTATTGGTGAATGGAAATGTATCGGTGATTGGTAAATGTATCGAGTGCTAATATTTAAACGTACTAGGGAACCTACAAACGTTTGAGTTCTATCCCTAATAACACTGCTCGCCATGCTCCGCTCTCTGCATTCCCTCCGACGACTCAACGCCCACCGGACCATTTTCTCCTATCACTTGCAACCTTTCCTCCGAGAGTCGTCTCCTCTATTCCTCCCAATTCCTCTTTATTCCTTTATCTGCTCTGCTGCTACCGCAGTCGCTGCTCCAGAAAAAGCAAGCGCCAGCTGCAGCGCTCTCAGCCGACATGTTTTGGAGGCGGACGACGTTCTTGTAAGATATCAATATGCGGACGCATATGCAGCCATAGAACTTGCTCTTGATTCCGTGGTGAAGGTCTTCACAGTTTCGTGCAGCCCCAATTACTTCCTGCCATGGCAGAACAAGTCTCAGAGGGAGAGTACGGGCTCTGGTAACTGAATCCCAAGTCTGTCTCAATTTTTGATTCGAGTGGAATTAGTGCTTTCTATATTTGTTGCAGTTTGAGCGGATGATTTCATGGTCCATTGATAATGGGGTTGGAAGATATAATCTTATCGGATTCTTTAACACTTGGGGAAATTTTATTACGATGCCTAAATTCTAATATGTGAACAAAGAAATGGGCTACTCAATACAGAGGTAAAAAAAGAGAGATAGGGACAGAGAGGGAAAAGTTTATTTTGTTCTGTGAGAGAGTTTAGATTTGCTTGGGCACAGCGAATTTTGACTTGGTGTGCACTATGATGGCACTTTCTTACTGCTTGAATCGCTGCTTAAAATTAGCACGACTCTGCTGCATCCTTTGGAAAAGTTTGAGCATTTCAGTTGCATTAATTTTCTTGGAACAAGTTCGATCATTCAGTTTGATTTCACAGCTCACGTTCAAACACAGATATCATCATTTTTAGTCTATATTTATATTCAGAAACTTTGATATGCATTAATATTTATGCACTCGTTGAAAATTTATAAATCTATTTTGGATTTTTAAAATCAAGCTTTGTCAAGCATTGTTTATGAATAAGTAATTTGGGACAATGCATTGTTGGCACTCATATGCCATAAGGATTAAGTGTATTATCTGTTTATAATTGTGTCTAAGAGTGCAAATGAGTCTAGTCGAGCTCGAGACACTGTGGGCTTGAGCTTGATTAAATCGTAGTTTTTGAGTTCCATCTTGAGCTTCATCTTAATTTTGCGAGTTCAAGCCACCTGAAGAGCTGGCTTGTTTAACATGAAAGAGAAAAAATAATTTTAATTCAAGCTAATAAAAAAATGATAAAGTGAATAAACAATTAGAAAATAAATAATAAAAATTTGCTTGATTTAAAATATAAAATATAACTTTTTTGAACATTTTTAATAATTAAAAGATACAATCTTGAATTTTAATATATTTTGAGTATATTTATATTAATAATTTTTTAAATTAGCCGTCTCATGAGCCAATGAGCTGATTCAGGGTTGATTTGAGCTTGAGCTTGGTTGTTAGCTCATCAAGTTCAGCTCATGAGCCACTTATCGAGTCGAGCCTGAACCAGTTACATCCTTGTTTGGGTCTTGTAAAGTTACTGGATTGAGTGTAGCATCCTACTTATGCCAATTTTATCTCTTCTTATCCTTTATTGGGGATAAAGCTAAGCCCGTGTAAGAAATTAGAACCTATTATATCACTTCTAATTTTACAAAAATTTATGCCTTCTTACTGTAATTACATAACTTAGCAAGTAATTGAAGGAACACCCTTTATTATTCTCGGGACATGTTCTATATGTAAGGGGCTTCTTTAAAATGTTATTGTGATAATCATCCATTGGAGCTGTACCTTGCAGTACTTCCACAATTTATATTCTTTATAGTAAAAGTTCTATTTTTTCTTACAAAACCGCAAAATGCTATTGTTTTGTTCCATCCATTGAAATTTCTCGTTACATCATCATGAACATTGCGTTTAGGTTTGTGGATTCTTTCATTTTCTTAGTTAAAATTCAATCTGCAACATGTTAAATAAATGCTTGAATTGGTATTCATTCATGTGTAAGATGCTGAAGGATCTTAATTTATGCCTAAATAATATGCAGGGTTTGTGATTCCTGGACAAAAAATTTTAACCAATGCTCATGTAGTAGCCGACCACACTTTTGTTCTTGTAAGAAAGCATGGTTCACCTACAAAGTACAAGGCAGAAGTCCAAGCTGTAGGCCATGAATGTGATTTGGCACTTCTCACTGTTGATAGTGAAGAATTTTGGGAGGGGATGAGTTTCCTGGATCTAGGTGATATTCCATTTTTGCAGGAAGCAGTTGCTGTTGTTGGATACCCTCAAGGTAGAGTTTGAAACTAATAATTTCATGGTATTAATCATTTTCTTCAAGTTCATGTTTCATTCTTAGGATGAAAAAAGGGGCATTTACAGAATACCACCCAATTCCTATGTATTTACATATGTATTTACATATCTAACATATCTAACACCAAAATTTTACTTTTCTACCTTTAGGCCTCCCAAATCTTTCATATCACATCAAAAACACCACTCTTTAAACTTTTAAAAAGTGAAATACACCTTTTTGTGCATTGATAAGGTTACATATATGTACAAAATGAAGTTTTAAGTGTTAGATATGTACGTACATAGAAATTCAGTGGTATGTATGTAAGTTTTCCAAGAAAAAAAAAGCTTATGAAAGGGCCATATGATGCAGGTGGAGATAACATCTCTGTCACCAAAGGTGTTGTTTCAAGAGTTGAGCCAACACAGTATGTTCATGGTGCAGCACAGCTCATGGCTATCCAAATTGATGCAGCTATCAATCCTGGAAATAGTGGGGGCCCTGCAATAATGGGTAATAAGGTTGCTGGAGTGGCTTTTCAAAACCTTTCAGGTGCAGAAAATATTGGGTGAGTTCAGGCAGATTGAAATGTTTATTGTTAGTTATCAAGATGTTTCAATGAATAAACCTCCCTTTGCTAGAATCAGTTGACATTATGGTATTTCTCAATATTTGCAGAAAAATGATCACATATCTTGAGCATATAAGATAAATGTTTCTGCTTAGATGCTTCCATGATTTCTCGTTTGTCTTACTTCGATCTGGTTCATTTATCCTCTATTATATTTCTTCCTTATGTTTCTGCTGATCTTAGGATGTGCTCTAACCATCCCATTTTCTATTTTCACTATTTTCTAAGCTTTTAGTTGAATTCCCATGCTTTTGTTGCACATTTATTATTTGGATGTTTTGAGTTCTTGCATTGTAATTTGATAGAATGGGGAGAATTGGAACAATTGCTTCTTTACTTGTTGTCTCGATAATATAAGCAAAATTGTGCCTAAATATAGGGAAGAGATTAATAAAAGAGGTTATATTCAATAATGAAGAAATATAATTAAAATAAATAGTCAGCAAATGTGATAGTTTAAATATGGTATCACTACCCGCACAAATTCAAGAGAAATTATTAGATTTGAATAATTGTGTGCAAGCAACTATTGTGTGAAATACAGAGGTGGGTACTCGACTTGTGTAGGTGTTCACATTTCTGGTGTGCACGCTTAATAAGTTCTCCAAATTTAAGGTGATATAAAAAATGCCAACTTGAGTTTATGAATAACTACGGCTTGAGATGAAATAGTTTAAAGTTTTTTTTTTCCTATAGCTTTGTAGTATTACAAGAGGAGTGCAATGGTGTGGCACGGGGTTTACTTATGCTAACCTAGGATAAAGTGTGCAAATAAACACACGATAGGCTCATGAATAAAATGATTTGCAGAATATAAGTTTTTAAGTTTATCTAAGTGGCACTGGGGCTGCCCTAGTTGAACTGGTGACTGAACTTGCTGTAGGAGTGAACTGGTTTAGCTAGGGTTGCAAGGGGCCCATCCAGCCTTGGTGGCTGGATTAGGGCCCTCGCCCAAGGGGAGGGGTCTCCCCCTCTTAGCTATCTTCTATTATAAATACGTTATTCTCTGTTTTAGGGTTAAGTTTTTTATTGAGGTTTTTTCCACCATTAGCGCCTTTTCCCTTGCTAGGATTGTATCCGAGGACAGGCGTTGCTCCAGCTTTATCATGCTCCAAGATGATGATTATCTCCACTGCTCCTTCACCTATCGTTTTCTATCTGTTGCCGCAAATGTTGCCAACTTCCCTGTTGTGGTTGCAACCCTCCTTATAGCCTTCCTTTGCAGCTGCCTACACCCCAGAGCCCGTCTGTTCTAGCCGCCAACCTTCCCCTCAGCCACCAACCTACAACCCTCCTTTGCTGCCACCTACACCCTAGACCCCCTCTGCTCCACCCTCCAACCGTCCCCTCAGCCACCAGCCCTTCTCCAGTTGCATATTACCCCTTCCCAACCATAGATTCTACCTTAACCTGCCTTTACAGCTGACCGCCTCCTCCACTTCCCATTCACCTGCTTGTTCCTCAAACATCACGACCACCTAACCCTCCCACCTATCACGCCACTTCCAACGTGGCCCACTACCTCCAACCATATCATCTCTATGCCACCTTTTGTCTTTACTTCACCTTAGCAAGATCTTTGTGTTATGTTGTATTTTCTTTCTATTTTGAGGCTGTGGATCCCATTGTTTTTGCTAATAAAATCTACTTTCTTATTGTGTTTTTGGGTTAACTTTAGTATTAATTGGTATCAGAGCTGACCTAGCCACTACCAAAATTTTCCTACCCTACCCTACCCTCAGTTGCCTCCCTCAATTTCTAAACCTTAGCCACACCATTAAGGAGACACATACTCAAACTTACTGACGAAGAGATACAACAAGAGATCTGTCGACTCCAACAGAAACTTGTAGAGATTGATAGTAGATACATTAACTTTAGGTGCTGGTCTGACACACTTGGGAAAGACCCATGTATACGAATGGAGATGAATTTTCATAGAAATTTGGGCAATAAAATATTTTATTAAATAATACAAAACAACACTATTCGAATACATAAGGTCGAGCATCTACAATTTGAGAGGTAGACGATCTCTCTTAAAACTTAACCCTAACACCTATAATTTGAGAGGTAGACAATCTCTCCCAAATCCTAATCCTAGGACTCAAAACAACAATCTTATAGCATAACCTAATATTAAACATTTTAGCTTTATTTATATCAAATAATAATAACTAATAAATGATTAAATTGCTTCTTTATTCTTGCACCTAAAATAAGTATTCAAATTATTTGTCAATCTCGGCGCAGCGGAAAATACGATAGGTGTCGGTCTAATGACACTCCCCTCCCAATAAAACACTTTGTCTTTAGGGTGGAAAAGAGAAAATTGATTTTGGATAAAATGTATGATTCCCACATGACATCATAATCTGGACAATCCTTTCTATTTAATTAGAAATTCATAGTAACCCTCATAAATTCGAAAATGATTTTGAAATATAGTCTTGTGCGCATTCATTGGCCAGATCTGAATTTGATGATATCTCGACTTCAAGTCAATATTGGAAAATTCTACAATCCCCCAAACAACTCGTCAAGTAGCTCATCAGTTGCCGGCATGGGAAATTTATTAGTTATTATTTTTTTATTCACTGTCCGATAATCCACACAAAAATGCCAACTCCCACCCTTCTTTTTCTCTATTAAGGCCGGGCTAGAGAAGATGCTCATACTAGGCTGCATGATCTCGACCTCTAACATCTCTCGGATCAATCTCTCGATCTCTCCTTTTTGTATTTGGTGATAGCGGTATGGGCACATATTGATGGGAGAAACCCCAAATCTCAAGATTAATGCATGCTCATGTTTCCTCCTAGTGGTAGTCCACATGGCCACTGAAAAACCTCTGCCAATTGTTGGAGCGGTTGGATCAGTGCTAGGATCTCTGCCACGTTCGTATGATGCATCTCTTCTCTTTTTTCATATGTTCAACTCACCCCATAATCAACTCACGCGTCTCCATATGCTCTTGAATCGCATTCTGCCTGAATGATTGCGTAGCAAAAGGTACCGACACGGTTGGATGCAACCCTTTGTTCGGTGGCTAACCCTTGTGATTCCCTGTTCCAGGTCGAATTCTTTGAATGGGTCTTCTCAAGCTCGAATCACATGTTTTCTCGTTCTGTCTGCTGTCGCTCGTCATAAACCTCCATGTGTCGTGCAATTCCCTCCAGTTAGTGCTGTGAAATTGGCTTGAGAATCGTGAATCGCCAGAAAACATATGGAATTTTAGCTCGGATCGAACCATTCGAGCTGAGCTACGAACCAACATAAAGTATTGAATTTATTTTAACCCTCCCTTGGTTCAGATGGTGATCGGATCGGGATCGAAATAAATTTTATGTATTTACATATATAACACCTAAATTTTTACTTTTACATGCATAATGCATTGCCAGCTTAGTTAGTGAGGTCCTTTTTGCTTGAGCGGAGTGGCAGGGGTTCGAATCCCCCTATTTTCACAAAAAAAAAAATAAATTTTTTTCTTGTGGCCCGGCTGGGCAAGCCAAGGCAGATTCGAGCCGACTCGATAATCAGATCGAACCACACTGGATCAGATCAAAATTTACTGGATTGTTCCACGATCTGATTTCGATCCGTTCTAAAATATTTCGATCTGATTTCGAGTCGACCCTTGATGTATTCGAAATCAAATCGTTAACACCCCTGCTTCCAGATGTTGTCGTTCGAATTCACTCCCGGCCCCTTTGCACAATTCCACATGCTTTCGTTCGTTCTAGCCGTTCAAGTGTTGCACTTCTCATTTCATGTGCTTCTGCTTGAGTTCGCTCTTCTAGAGCTGTCAAAAAAGCTCGTTGTTCGTCAATGAGTTCGTGTTTGATTCGTTCGATAAGTAAATGAGACGAACGTGAATAATTTTTTTCATTCGGTTACTTAAACGAACCAAACACGAAAAATGATACGTTCGTCCGTGTTCGAATCGTTATTGTTCGAAATATAAAATAATTTAAAATAATT